TTCGCCTGATTTCGATGTATCGAGCGTATCGACGCGCAAACATCTTCTTTTGCGGTCGAAGACCGTTAACAGTGTTAACGTTAGCCAACGGTGCACGATGCAACATCACGATGAGTATCTACGCGTGACCGATCGCGATCGGATAGGATTCCGCAACGCAACACGCGGCGTTATAGCCACTGGGCACAAAAACGTAACACCGAAGCGTACCGCAGAATAGGCGCGGAATGTTTCCATTCGATTGCTTCCCTAATCGTTAGGGGGATCGTGCCGATGGTGTGCTGTTTACCTTAAAGCGGATAGATCCAATTAGTCTCACATACGCGGATCTACGTTGTCGACCTATAATGCGTCGATTCATTCTCTTCTCCTTTTATAATTTTCGATTTATGTCCGAGAATAAGGAAGAATAAATCGATCTATAGCTCTTATCGCGATTATTAAACACTTCCTGATTTTATTAGCTACATATTAATACGAGAGAAACTTTAACGAATGTACTTTTTTTTTTTTTTTTTTTGTGCATTTTCGTACTTGCCCTTCGCCCTTTCATCGACGTTTTCTCACGGAACTCATCTTGGAACAAGAAAACGCTCTCTCTCTTCCTACCTTCCTCCCCCTCCCCCTTCCCCACCACGCGACCCATCCCACTTCCCTCAAAGCACTCTCATCATCACGGTTAAATTCATCGTTGAATTCTCACGAACATTGAAGTATCGTGGAAAAATGGATTACCATTTTGCATTATCCTATACTTTTCTCTTAATTTGATCCATTTAATTATAGTTTTCCCAGAGTTGTACGAATGAGAGATAGGGAAAAGATAAAGAGAGAGAGAGAGAGAGAGAGAGAGAGAGAGAGAGAAAGAGAGAGAGAGAGAGAGAAGATAGTTTCGTAGAAAGCCACAGGATAGCTTCGTGGTTGCTCTGTTTTCAAACGAGAAGCTGTCCAAAACTTTTTCCCTTTCACATAGGCGGACAATGCGGTTGCTCGCGGAACGGAAAGGTCGAAGCCTGACTACTCCCTTCACCCTCTCTCTTTCACTCGTTCTTCTCCGTCTATCTCTCGCTTCCCTCATGGTCCATGGCCAGCAACCAACCATTCCGAGTTGAGTCAGACAGAGGGAGGAGAGGGGGAAGAACGAACGTAATGAGCTTCCCAGGCCGGTTGTAACGAGCAAAAACTTATCGTCACTCTCCCTCCTGATTTACTCGACCTGCCACGTCGTTAGTCGTACTACCCCTTGCCACTCTCCGTCCTTTACCCTACGAGAGAAAGAGAGAGAGAGAGAGAGAGAGAGAGAGAGAGAGAGAGAGAAAGAGAGAGAGAAAGAAAGAGTCCATCGCTACAGCCGGCGGTGGATCATTTTTTTCGAAAGGCTCCTCGCGAGAACGACGATCTTTTAGATTTTTCTCTTCCAATGAAATTACTGTAATCTTTCTTTTTTCCCGAGCTATTTTTTTATTTTTTCTATTTTTTCTTTTTCTTTTTTTTTTCGTTTTTTCTTTTTTTGTTATTGTTTCCTTTTTGTTGTTTTTTCTTTTTCTTTTTTTTCTTTCTTTTTTTTTTTTTTTCAATAAACGATTACATGACTACGAGTACCCGAATTGTTTCTCATTTTGTTAGCTGATCTATATCTCTCTTTTTTTTTTATTCTTCTTTTGTCTCTCTCTCTCTCTCTCTCTCTCTCTCTATCTTTACCACTCCCATGATATTTGTTTTAATAAAAAAGAATTTCGAGATCGACTTTTGAGTCATTCAAAGTGAAAGACGAATGATATAAACTGAGATTCTATTTTCGTCGACGAAGAGTAATACGAAACGTAAGCGTGTAATCCGACGTCAGTATCGGAATAAGTCGAGCCGTTCGTTTTCGTTCCCACACACGTCGATCGATACTCGATGCAACGGTATTGGTGTCGTTACGGTCACAATACAATTGCGTAACCTCGGATCGATAATAATCGGTGAGTTTAATTGTAGGCGAAAGTTCTCTCTATTCTCATCGCGAATAGTAGTATAATAGTAGTAGTAGTAGTAATAATAGTAATAGTAATAGTAGTAGTAACTATTTTGATATTAAACGATCGGTCTATTATATCTATTGTGCGATTTTTTTCTATTTCTTTCTGGTTTCTTTTTTCCTTTTCTTCTTTTTTTTCTTGTTCTTTTTTCTTTCCTTTCTTTTTTTTTTTTTTTCATTACACCGAGTCGATCTAATAATCGTCGATTTTAACGTGAAGCCGAAATTTGTTTTTTCTTCTTTCTTTTCTCTCTCTCTCTCTCTCTCTCTCTCTCTCTCTCTCTCTCTCTCTTATACTCTTTCAAACAGTAGCAACATCCATTCATCGGCATAGCATAGTGGAAATAGCATTCGTTCTTTCTTCTTATACACTGCCTGTCTCTCGTCTCAACTATCGTCTTCTGATAACCCCATCGAGAGACGACCCGCACGATGGCCTCGATAAACACGATAACTCTTACGTTCATAAAAGTCTTTGTTAAGAGAAAAATATGTTGAAGATCGTTTAGAACGGACAGATAAGGTTTGTATACTAATTGCCATCACACGACAGTTTCTAGTAAGTAAGTAAATGCCTCGTAAACTTACGATCGTTCCTTTAAGTTTTAAATACTTATCTCGTTCGCCGAGAATTAGAAATGATGTTAGCGAAAGATAAAAAATTTTCCTTCCTTACGTTTCTTCTCTCTCTCTCTCTCTCTCTCTCTCTCTCTCTCTCTCTCTCTTTTCCATTTCTTTTCTCTTTATTTTTTTGTTAACATAATAGTAGATATTTTTTGACGCTTATAAAGAGAGCGGGAAAAATCTTTTCTTGCCTTACCTTGAAAGAGAAGTGTCGTAATGATCGACGTTATGAGGCATCATTATCACGAGCAAAAGAGTAAGATGAAGATGTAGAGTAGTCGAGACTTAGACGAAGAAGGAGAAGAATACGAATAAGAAGATGAGGAGGATAGGATGTTCGTAGGAAAAAAAGTGGCGTTCACGATTAACGGATGGTCTTAATTACAGACATAGGGAAGGCCTCTCGTTAAGGAGAACGGACAAAGAAGTAATCGACATTGTATCGACAACGGGAGTTATTTAACTTGATATCGTACAAGACATCAATCCACAATTAGAACGGAAGAATAATGCTTCTTCGTTCGATGAGAATCTTTATGTACACACATACATATATACATAGATAGATAGATACATACATATATACAATTACTTACGTAGATTTCTAAGTACGTGAGTGGCTCGTTCGAGCCGTTTGTCTTAATGAGAGTTATTTGATCCCTCGTGTCGTTGGCACCGCAGGAGCCCGTAACGCGATAAAGCAAAAAGCTAATGGTCCTTGTTACAGCATTGTTATGCGATAAAGATCTTCAGAATATCTCGGTCTTCCTTTTATATAATCCCGTTCTCGCTTTATATACGCCTCTGAATATCTCGACACGTGTTACATTCTTCGTTATCCTAATTGTGCGAATTTAGAGCGCAATCTGTCATTACGATGCAGATTCGATTCGTCATTTGATTCCCGAGTACGAGTTCGGGCTATTATTTCTTTTTTTATTTTCTTTCCACTTTGATTAACTCGTGATATTTCTCTCTCTCCCTCTCTCTCTTTCTCTCCAATGTTTCTCTATTCTTTTCTCCAATGTTTCTCCTTTCTTCCTTTCCCTTTTTTTTTTATCACACATCAAAGAAATAGTAACAAAAAGAGAAAGGGAAGAAAGATAAAGAGATGTGATAGAAAGAAAGACAGAAAGAGAGAGAAAGAGAGAGAGAGAGAGAGAGAGAGAGAGAAGGAAAGAGAAAAAATGAAGAAGAACAGTAACGTATCAAAGGAATACGATGAAAGCACGGAATCCGGTTCTTATCGTTTGGAAGGATCGAGTCACGATTTACGCCGGCAAATCCTTTTAAATTTTAGGTATTAACTGGTGCACGAGTTCTGATTTCTAGCCGATATCGTTGACGTTTGTGGATCGTTAACCTTTATATCTTCGTTGTTCTACTTTTCGCAAGTTGCCTACCGCCTTCCATAGGGGATCGTCGTTACGCGCTCGTAATTCCGATAGCCGATCGCGCCAAGTGTTTTGTCAGTTTTATGGCTGGCAACACTTGCACTCAGTTGCAACGAGATAATATTGTTGAATGCATTAGCGAAGCTGAAAGGCGACTTCTCTCGTCGAGGAAATAAACGATTCGGTTCTCTCTAAATATCGTTACGAACCGTGTAAGCCATTTATATATGTACATATATGCATGTTATGTATATATATATATATATATATATATATATATATATATATACGTATGTAACTATGTAACAAACTTTACGACGTGGGAAACTGAGGAAAAGTTTTAATACATTTGACAATCCGATCGTGGGGCATTAAGATGTTAACCAGAGATATCCCTATAGTGGCAGTATTAGTTTATACCAAGTAGTCTCCTATTTAAACGCTAAATAGTCTACGGTTCTCATAGTTAGTGGCGTCGTCGTAGTCCTCCAACGTTCGATTTGAATCTTCCGGTCTACGAGGTTGCTAAGAGAGAAAGAGAAAGAGAGAGAGAGAGAGAGAGAGAGAGAGAGAAGGAGAGTTCAGGACTAATTGACCGAGGCAGAGAACTCATTAAAAGTGCGCCATGGAACTCGAGACACCAGTGGTTCGTAACGAGTGTTGTAATTCGAGCTCGATCCTTCCTTAGCACGAAAACGGCAGCCCTCGGTGGCCGGTACGCCAACAGCTGTAGATATATCCCCCTTTTCAACCTTTTCGTATATCTCGTCGACCTGCCCACGAGTCCTAC